GCATATGCCATTAGTAGATTCGACAAAAATTTTATTACCACCACTGCATATCAAGTTGGGCCTAATGAAAAACTTTGTCAAGGCATTAGATAGAGATGGGTCAGCTTTTCAATACCTGCGTCAGAAATTTCCAAGACTAAGTGAGGCAAAGGTTAAAGAAGGTATTTTTGTTGGGCCACAGATTCGAAATATTTTGAAAGATGCACAGTTTGAAAACACTTTAACAGGTATTGAAAAAACTGCTTGGAATGATTTCCGTCTGGTGGTCACTAATTTCTTGGGGAATAGAAAAGCTGACAACTATAAAACCCTTGTCAAAAATATGCTGTCATCGTATCAAAAGATGGGCTGTAATATGTCTCTTAAGATACATTTCCTACACTCACACCTGGACTTTTTTCCTGACAATTGCGGAGCCGTAAGTGATGAGCACGGCGAACGTTTTCATCAGGATATTTCAACAATGGAAAAAAGGTACCAGGGAAAGTGGAATCCTTCCATGCTTGCAGATTACTGTTGGACTCTTGGTAGAGATGCTCCAGAAACGATCCATAAAAGAACAGCAAAAAGACAGCGCATATAGTGATTCTTATAAGTATATGAATCTTGTTACTTTTTGTAATATATCCTTAAAAATAAAAAGTTTTTTTTCTAAACTGCAACTAATTTTTTTATTTCATTGTCATTTTTGGATTCAGCGCCCCAATATTAACAAAGAAGTGCACTTTTCCCCCAAGATACAATTAAAAAACTAAAATTTGTTGTCCAGTGTCATATTTGCGTCCGCTCCTGGTTAGGGGCTAATCCACTAGTTCGGCGTTTTGTAAGTTTCCGTTGACGAATGAACCAGCGTCGGGCATCGGAATTACATCGAGGTCGCGCCGTATCCGCCGCGTGTTGCCTGCTGCTGCACGGAACCGCCTGGCCACGATGTAGATACCCGGTTGACGACCCCAAGGGGCAACATCTCCACATTCATACTGCCGGTCCGGACGGCGGGGCCACTTTTTTATTTTTCCAACCTTCTTCCGATAATTTCACCGGACGATCACACCGAGACACAAAAAGCCCATAAAAGCGACATAATTCTTTCAACCTTTGCGGCCTACCTGTCTCTCCCGTACCCGGACCGTTTTGACATAAAATAACTTTGAAAACGAAAAAGTGATTTCTATGTATCGGGTATTTTTATTAAATATGGTCCTTTACAATTTATTGAGCCTAGTTTTTGAACACAACATCTATCAAAAGGCCACCTTTATTGGCCAAAACAAAATGTGCCCGTTTTGCTGCGTTTTCCATTACTTTTTCGAGCATCTCTGGTGGTATAGCGGCAATTGCGGTACGACTGTTTGCCTTGAGTTCTTCAGTGGTCTGGGCTTGTTGGCGTACACTTGACTTACCAAATAACCCCACAAGAAGAAGTCCGGTGGGGTCAAATCTGGAGAACTGGGTGGCCAGTCAATGTCACCTCTTTTTGACATCAGACGTCCAGGGAATTTTCGTTGCAGAAACTGGATTGTTTCATTTGCAGTGTGGCATGCCGCACCGTCTTGTTGAAACCAGTAACCATCAAGACCTTTTTCACGCATTTGTGTGCAGACATAAATAATAGTCCATATTTATAACAAAAAGTTTTACCTTTTGCTTTCAAAAAATTAAGCAATTCCTTCAAAGTATATGCGTAAAAAGAAGTGAAGGAAAAGGTCTCGCTTCTGTAAAGTAAAAGGTGTTAACGTTTTCTTATTTATAAAAAGAAGCATTTGCTTAAAAACTGAAGGATTTGCTTCTAAAAAAAGGAATCTACAGTATATTCAGATAAGAGATAGACCGGACATAAACAAGACCACGTGATCATCGAACGCTGTAACATTCGGCAGGGACGTATTAAGAGTCACGCAGTACATATTTTAGATAGTAGATGCTGCTGTGCGTAACTTTGTAGTAAATTAGCACAATTCGATGTGTATACGATTGGTGATGGATATAGGATCATGTGGGGGTGGGGTAAGAAATATATAATGATGTAAATATACATAAGGGTTTCAAAATTTTCGCTTCGATTTCCAGCTTCGGATGCCGCCTGATGTTTGGTGAAATACAGTCGAATATAATCTCAAAATGGCGTTTAAATTAGCCTAAATTAAAAATAATCGTATATCTCTTAAAATTGCTTTTAGAATATTGATTAGTATATTTTTTGATTTCTAGGTAAATATGTAACCAAATTAAAACGTTCAAAACGTAAAAAAATGTGCATGGTTGAACATTGTCAGAAAGTAGATTCTTGAATAGGTTTTGCCAAAATGGGTTCAAAAATGTCAATAATTAATTAAAAAATACAGTAGCTTTATAATTACTTATAACTTAGCGAATTTGATGAACGACATCTTTTATTGGAAAGATGAGCTTGATGAGCTTTCATCATCGCTACTGCCTGAAGCACCAACGTCAATAATGAATGGCTCGACTTGTTCCTCTAAAATATTGTCCAGTTCCCACATTCTCTTTTCAACTTTGTCTTTCACGTGCTTAATACAGTTTTCCCATTTTTGCGCTGTTATTAATTCTAGTGCTTCTTTGAAAAGTCCTTTGAGGTCACAAAATTTAAAAGTTGTATTGTGCTTAGCTATATAATTTTTAACCTCTGCCCATATGAGCTCAATGGGATTGAGCTCGCAATGGTATGGAGGTAAACGGAGCACAGTTTTATTTTGACTTGCTGCCATTTCGTCAATGGCGTATTTTTGATATTCCGCCTTGTGATCCTTGACAATTCTTGATAATTGTACTTTCAGCATTGCTTCTTCAAAGTTGATATTTTTCGAGCGGAGCCAATTTTGAACATCAACTTTCCTTGAAGCCGTTGTTGGGACCTTCTCCATTCTTCGAGAATGATAAGGCGCATTATCCAACACAATTACTGCGTTTTCCTCTAAGTTCGGTAAAATTTTTGAAAACCACTGTTCAAACGATTCGCCATTCATTTCCTCGTGGTAATCTCCAGTTTTCTTAGACTCAAAACACCACAGACCGTCAACAACAAATCCATCCTCACTGCCAATATGGCAGATAATGAGCCTTTTCCCTTTACCTGGAAATCGAAATACTAACTGGTGTAGATTTATTTCAATAAGCGAACCTTTTTCAAATGTTTTCATCACATTCAGCGAAAAAACATTGAGACATAAGTATCAGATTGCTATAATTGGGATTATTTAGTCATATTGAAAGAAAGAATATTGAACGTCGTATGATTACTCAGCGCTTCACAATTTAATTTAAAGTTATAAACCTTTAAAAAATGAATGATCAGGAACCTGAAATACGCGCAAATATTAATATTAACAAATTATAACTTTATAAAGCTTAAAGTATGAATTAAAATGATTAGAAATATTAGGAACGGTACACAATATAAAACTTAGTAACTTTTTTTAAGTTTATAATATTCGACATATTTTAAGATTATATTAAAAAATTATTGAAATATCGAAAACACATAAAAACATGGCTTAAAAAAGTTCTAACAAATGAAAATGACAATAAAACATCCACGCATTTTATCGAAAGTTATAAAAGTTTTGTTACTTGTAATATGTTTTATCTGCCCCCTGGAATTAATGTTTAGAACCTTGTTCCCAAGGTTTGAAAAACATCAGATTGTTGTCTATTACTCGTATTTACCTGCTGGATGTTTTAATCCGGTGGACAGTCCATCTAGAAAGGCCCTCCTGGATGAAGTTACAGAATCATCAACCCATACTTTACTTGTAGTGTGTCCTGCGTTTACCCACGTTTCATCAAGGTAATAAATCTTCCTGTTTTGATTTCTATATTTCCCAATTTTTGTTAAATAATCCCTCCTCCATAGCACAATTTCTTCTCTATCCAGTAGTAAACTATTACGACCCCGTTTTTTCCATTTGAAATTTAAATGCTTCAGTAACGCATGGAAAGTTGATCGTTTGAAATTTGGCAACGTTGTATCTCCATTTACCTCCTGCAGTACTTTATCTATAGTAGGTATTTCATTCCTAAAGAAGAATTCATGCACTTTCCTCCTAATCGCATGCTTATCAGCTTCATCCAATGATTTAACAATACTTTTGCGATGTTTACTGGTCATTGGCTCAGAAAAGGTGTGATTTTTTTTGTATTGTCTTAACACATTAAACACTGATGCGCGACACACCCCAACTTTGTGAGAAACCTTCACAACAATTTCTTTGATGGTTGATGCCTCGTTCTCCTCGCGCTCGATCTTATATATATTCAAAATGACCTCTTTCATTTCTGCACTCAGGTGTCTTTTTTTAGAGCGTTTCCTAGGTGGACTACAGGAGTTTACAACTTCATCGGCAGTATCTGTACTACTGGGAATTTTGCGCAAGCAGTTGATAACAATAACAATCAATAACAAGGTATAACAATAACAACGACAAACTCAACAACTTAATAAGATAACAAACGAAAACGTCCAAAGAAATATCAAATTGCAATGATGCACAGGACATACGTAACACGTCTGAACCTGAATGTGACTCTGCCTTGATACGACCAATGAGGGCTCCTGTTTTACATCGAGACGGCGGCGTTAGCGTGAAAATCACCCGAACCTTTTGTTTACATCCGGTCTATCTCTTATCTGAATATACTACTGTAGGTTACAGCAGCTTTTCTCATTTTATCATCAGTTGTCCCGGCATCTTAGAGCCTGCATCTTAAAATTTGTGCATTTTCGTTTAATAAAATCTATTTGTAAGGGCTTGTTCAAGTGATCTTTGGTTGATTAGTCGCAGTATTGTGTTAGTTGTGGCTAATGTGGTGCATTTACGTACAAGAAAATACTACAAACCAAGACGTACACCTCGTGAGTCAGATTTCAAGACGTTGTTTAGATTTGACGAGGAACATGTGATGTGGTTGGCAAATTTCTTTCTTGGCATATATTTCGAAACTCGTCGAGTAGCCCAGTCACCTGTGCAGAAAATGAAAATATGTCTGCGGTATTGTGCGAATCCTGGATTTCAGAGCGGAATACTGAAGAATTGGGATGTTCGCAGCCCACAGTGTCCAGAATATTTCATGACGTGCTAGAGCGAATTGTACAACAACCCGGAGAATTTATCAGGTTCCCAAATACAGAAAATCAAATTAAGCAGGCCAAAGAGAGATGGTTGACCAGGTTCCGTTTTCCCACAGCTACTGGAGTTATCGACTGCACGCATATTGGTCTTGATGGAAAACCAGCCCAATTTGGAGACGAATATATAAATCGAAAAGGTTTTGCCAGTATTAATGTACAGGTTACACGCGACCAGAATTCTGTTATAACTAGTGTAGATGCAAGTTGGCCTGGATCAGTCCGTGATGCTCGTATATGGAAAAATTCGGCAGTGTGTGAAGTCATGAAAAAGACAAGAAACACTATTCTTCTAGGGGACAGTGAGTATGGTATAATGTCATGTCTTATGACTCCTTACACAGACCCCCTCGAGGAATATCGGAGAGTCCTTAACAGGCTGCTTACATCAGAGCGAGTTGTGATTGAGCATACATTTGGGCAAGTAAAGCGACGATTTCTTATCCTGAAGTATGGATGCAGAGTAAAACTGACCAGTATTCCAAAAGTTATAATTGCGTGTGCTGTGTTGCACAATACTGTTGAAAAGAAGGTATACTGTGACCCCTCAAAGCCCTGGATCAACTCTAACATATCGAGGATGCTTCGTCACAAGAGATCTTTGTGGCAACGGTTTAGGAAGAGTGGCCATTTACAAGATTACGTGTCTCATCGATCCTTTTCTAACCTCCTATCTAGAACGTTACATAATGCCAAACATGCTTATGAACGAAAACTCGTTACCTCCAAAAATAAGAAGAAGCTGTTTCGGTATCTAAGAACAAACCTGAATTCCAAAGTTTCATCACCTCAGATCCGCGACGCTGACGGTCATCTCCACATGGATGCCACCGAATCTGCCAACTTACTGGCAGAGTCCTTTAGTGATGACTTCGTCGATGAGTCTAATGGAGACCTTCTACCGACCACTATCTGCCATAGGTGTCCCTACAGCCTTTGCGAAGTTGAGTTCCTGCCTGAAGATGTATTAATGCACCTGCGAAATCTGAAGACCTCTTCCTCCCCTGGTAAAGATGGGATGACGGCTGCTGTACTTAAAAACTGCGCTTCAGCACTGGCCCTACCATTAAGCTTGATATTCACATCGTCTTTTAGATCTCATACCCTACCCTCATGCTGCTTCTGTTACCCCTGTATTCAAAAAGGGCGACAAATCCTCCGCTAAAAATTATCGACCAATAAGTCTCATTCCTATCGCCGCCAAAATAGCTGAAAGAATCATATTAGATAAGCTCCTGTCATTTGCTTTCGAAAATGACCTTATCCCTAAGAATCAGTATGGATTTCTCCCTGGTCGATCAATAATGACCAACCTTCTCCACTCTCTCAACGATTGGACTCAGTATCTGGACACAAAGACTCCTGTTGATATAATCTACTTAGATTTTTCTAGGGCTTTCGATCGCGTACCACATAGAAGGCTTCTGTTGTATGGGAATAAGAGGCGAGTTGTTACTGTGGATTAAGGCTTTTCTCACCGGGAGGACTTTCTCTGTGCGCGTCAGTGATAGCCAGTCTCACCTTCATCATGTAGCAAGTGGAGTTCCTCAAGGCTCTGTCTTGGGGCCAGTGCTGTTCCTTCTGTTTACAAGTGACCTGCCCGCATTGATTTCCTCCACATGTTCAGCTTATGCCGACGACACCAAGATTTACAATACTGTCGTAAATTCTGCTATGCTTCAACGAGATCTTGATATTGTTTGTCAATGGTCAGTCAGTTGGCTTTTACCCTTAAATCTAACTAAGTGTTGTGTCCTTCACCTCGGGAAGACAAATTCGCGATTTACATACAAGATCTCTGACCACAACATCGAAGCAGTTTCCAGCCACACTGATCTGGGCGTTGTAGTCAACGATCGTCTTTCCTGGTCAGAGCATATTCACCACGTTATATCAAAAGCCAAGAAACTTCTATACATGCTGGAGAGGTCTTTCAAAGGATCCGATGTCAACACTTGCGCCTACATTTACAAGGCATTCGTGAGGCCAATTCTTGAATTCGCTGGCCCGGTATGGGACACTGTGCTTCTGCGCGATAGAAATCTCGTCGAATCAGTACAGCGTCGGGCTACTCGTATCCCTTTTGGAGCACGCAGACCAAGCTATGAAGATCGCCTTGAATTATTCAACCTGACCTCATTCTCTGAGCGAAGACTTCGTGGCGATCTTATAGTTACGTTCAGGATACTTCATGATTTGATGGGCACCAACCTCATGCATCTATACCGTCTGTCGCGCAGCAATCTACGCGGACACAGCTTCAAACTGCATAAGGAGCCATTTAAAACAACAGTCCGACAGTGGTTTCTTCCCAACCGCATATTCAACACCTGGAATAGTTTACCTGAAAGTGTGGTTGGTGCTACTTCAGTTAATAGCTTCAAAGTGCAGTATGATAGCTGGAGGAGTGTACAAACTTTATAGCTATGAACTGTCTTTTTTTATTTTTTTCTATTTGATGTATTTGTGTTACGTGTCCGTACACTATATTGTGTGTACTCTGCTCATCTCAATTATCATAATAATAATAATAATAATATATTAAGAGATGAAGATTTTCAAGAAAATGACGAAGATGAAGAACAGGACTCCCCATTTATAGATAATGAAAATGTAGATGCTATTCGCGCACAATGACAAAGGCGGCGAGAGGAATTAGCTCGTCTTATTACCAATAACAATATAGGTATATTATTAGGATTAAAACTTTCATGTAATGCTATGTACGTATATGCCGTTTACTTCAAACGTACAAAGATGTATTTACTTAAACTAAAAATAAACTTAACGTTTGAACTGGAAAAAAACGTTTAATTATTTTTTTTTGTTATAAATGATACATATTACATATACGTATATTTACAAGTTTTGGTAAATATTATCTCCAACAACATACTCTTGCGGGGCTTTTTCGTTTGATGCCTCGTTTAAATTTTTTAGCTTGGCATAGTAATATTGTTGTTGGAGACGAGCAACTTGTTGTTCAACTAAAACTAATCGTTGAAGCTGGGTTGTCGTTAACTGCCTCGTCTCGTCAGACTCTTGTTTGCCGAAGCAAAGGTAGGCTTCGGAGGAATTTTTTTGCAGCAACCTCTTCAACCGATGTGTAGGATCGCTACTACTTGAGGCATAATCATCTGATGAGCGTCGTTTTCCACCATAATGTCATCCTTTGAAGTAGGTAAAGAAGGTTGACTTGCCACGCCAATTGCAAGAGCCCCTAATAAAAATATACATGCATGATAAGTACCTACAAGGTAATAGTAAAGACCTGAATCTATTTCTCACCTGGTACCCGACTTAGTACAGGATTTATGTCCGCATCCATAGCCTTCAACATAACTTTCTCCCAGGACAACAGACGAATGGGCTTGTTCCCTGTTTAATTTTTGTCAGTTTTATTTTTCAATAGCGTTTTCATATTGTTCACTTTTTTCACAAAAGCTTTAATATCCATCTCCTTGCCAAATAAAGTAACGTATTCCTTAACGATATCAGTTAATGCAGCAGTTTTCCTCTTTTTCATCGCTGGAACTTGAGCTTTCTCGAGAATCTCCGGAAATGCTTGGACTTTTTCAGCGATAAACATCATCTCGTTAGGGGCATGTTCGGTAACTTCCTGTTCACTATCGGTGTCAGACATTTTAAATATTTTGTTCACTTTAAAATATATATATATAAATTTTATAGAAGACAAATAAATGAAGAGCCTTCAGAAGGGTGGCTGGCTTTTGTGCGTGGGTATCGGATATTTTTTTTCGCTTCATTGTGGTCTTATGAGGTTTTTAAATATACACATATGATGTGTGAAATATGGCTAAAAGCAGTTGGGAGTGTATAAATACACTAACTTCATATACCCTCCGCTACCCCTTTACAACCCCCAGCTCCCGAATTTCAACATAAACATTTTACTGAAAATAATCAGGAGACTCTGATACGTCAAAAATGGAATGTGAGTAGTTTTTATTTTTTTCATATTTTTGCCCCTAGCTTCGCTGCCACTGGACCGATTTTCAAAAACTACAAAGCTTTTTTGTGCTTGGCATAGTAGTGATCGTGTGTGAAAATTTTCTTCAAAATCCTGTGTTTGACTGCTTGAAACAGTACTTATAAAACAAGTTCTGACTTTTTATTATAACCAGGAACTTAATATTTGCTATTTTCATCTTTTCCAAACAATCGAATACTAAGATGCCTTTTGGCAAGCATCAATACGGAAACAATTCCCGTTCGTACGTCTGTTCGCATATTCCACTCGCTATTTTTGACTTGATGGCCGGCAATGTGACGGGTTATGCAACTCTGTGGACTCACAAAACAACTTGGTGAGCCTGGCAGGGCATCCCATCTCTTTACAGACTGTGTATCCGCGTCGGTAATCGGGTCAGATTATTTATACTGTCAGCCGACACACACATACAGGGTGGCCGATATGTAACTGACTGGTTTGTATCTCGAATATTTGTGAAACGAGATAAAATACATTCCATTTTTTTCATCTTAATAATAATAATGTTTATTGTCACAAAATACAGGTAAATATCAAAAATTGTGCACAATAAACATAAAGCGCCCAAAAAAGTTTGCACTTGTGTCTGGGTTTGTTAAAAATAAATACTAATAGTACAGTCAGTGTATTAAAAAAAAACCGTTAATACTGTATAATTTGGTGAATTTAATTATTATGGTAATGTCAGGAAAAATATCCAGACAATTATAACTAAAGTAAAAGTATGGATGTTAGTGTAAGTAAAATACTGATTTTGATACTGATTTTTCATATCTACAATTTCGTAGATGGAGCACCTTGGTTGTTGTAAAATCCATTTTTTTAGTTCTTTTTTCAATGATCTATTTGATTTAATTACTTTGAATGACTCTGGTATGAAGTTATAGAATTTTGGGCCCAAGAAAAACAGATCGTTGTGTAATGGTTTTTGATGTTTGTGGAATACACATTGAATTTTGTTGGGTAGTTATGAATGGTACAATTCAAGTATTTCGAATATTTAATATAATGTAAAGATAAATTTGTCTGCACTCTGATAGCTGAGCCTCCACATATAGAGAATCACTTGAATAAGTAATCTCCCTATGGAGGATCAATTTTAGAATTAATTTTTGGATTACATCAACCTTTTTGTAATTATTATTCATAAACCGCCCCCCCCCCCAAGCCAAAATTCCGTAAAGTAATAGACGATAAACAAGAGCATAATAAAGATTATATAATTTCTTATCCAAAATATCTCTGACGTACCTGAATTTTGGAATAATGCATCTCAGTCTCTTCACAAGGTACTGTGTATGGGTATCCCATTTTAAGTGTTTTTCCAAAATCACGCCTAAGTATACTAAGTGACATATAAATCCGAACACCCAGTTTAAATGGTTTTATTTTAATAAAAGTTGGTGAATGTA